TTTAATTCAATTTTTCCACACACTTTTTGAAGCACTCGCCTATATGTTGCTATTGGTCAGTTTATAGTCAGTTAAAAACTGTAATTCATTTAATTCATTTCTTCTGAGAGATCATAGTCATTAAGTCTCTCATTATTAAGAGGATTGAGAAAGTTTCCAAGATTCCTATATGGCATATGTAATATAGACAGTTGTGAAAATCAGTCTTTGCTTACTCTTCGGTTAAGAACTAAGTTGTAAGAAATCGGAGAGACATGATGGAATTTCAGAGGTACAAAGATTACTTTCTGCTGGGCTACTGACAGTTCCCTGGCCTTTTCGAAATTCACGATTTCAACTATCTGACTGTGAAGTATACCTATATAATATATTTTTAAGTTCAACTTTTAAAATCTAAATATTTAAAAAACACTTCAGGCAAATTGGAATTAGTTTTCCTCATAGATAGCCAACGTACTATACATGTACTTTCATCACAGATATTTATATATAATTGTTTCTAGGTGAACTTTAAAAATTGACTTAAGAGGTAAGATTAAATACATGCTGCCCTGGAAGAACTAATAATTTAAGATAATGCAGAATTAGAAGCATAGCTTATATTCTTTTAAGAACTCATTTGGTCTCAGTTCCAAAGAGCCAATGAAACAATCCACCCAGATACAAACTCTAAACCTGAAAGAGGTCTCTAATTGTGACAGTTGTCCAACAATAGAATGAACTGTCTTGTGAGAGAGTCAGTTCATTACTTCGGGATTTCAGACTAAGGTTAACAGATAGTCTAGTTGGAAGTTTTAAAATGATTCCTGTACTGAGAGGTAGATTAAAAGGCTTCTGAAATCCTCTAATTCTAAGGCTCAATGACTCCAATCTTACCTTTCTATCCTACTTTTACAGCATAGGGGTCCTTTTATCTGTGTCTCTTTAATCTTATTATCATAGACTTCTTTTGTATCATTTATTTTTGTACTTATTTTGTACTTACGTTATTTTGCTTTAAGATAGGGAAAGTATTTCATATATTCTACCTCTTTTAGTACAGTTGCCTGTACACAGGAAGTATTCATTAGATTTTATTGAATAAAAATTTTATTGAAATTACAGGTTTGATTGATTGCTTTACTTGATACCATTTTTAAGAACAATTCTTTTTTTTCCTCATTGGAAAACCCAATTCATTATTACAGTGAATTTTCATGTGAATCTCAATGAATCATTAGGGTGAGTTTAGAGTGTTTCTCTTTCATAAAGCAGTAAAAAAATGGAAATGCTTGCTTGAACACATATTTAAAGCTTAAAATGATCCTTTAAAAATATTTGAAAAACATATTTCCTCTTTCACTTATCCTTTTTTAATGTTGTGAAACTAGAAAAAAATAATATATGAAGAAGACATAGTAACACACAAAACATAGTCACCTTTTGTTCGCACATTTTTGAACCTGAGTTATGGTATACGTAATTTTTAAAACTAATTTAAGAATAATGAAAAAAGCAAAAGCAGAATTACAAAATTACATTGTGATGGGTTGAATTATATACCCATAAAAGATATGCTGAAGTCCTAATCCCAGGTAAGATTTTACCTTATCTGGAAATAGGGTCTTTGCAGTTGTAATCAAGTTAAGATGAAGTTATGCTAAATTAAGACAGCCCAAATTCAATGAATGGTATCTGTAACAAGGTTATTTAGGGGGCCAGCACTGTGGCATAGGCAGTAAAACTGCCATCTGTGATGCCAGCAACCCATATGGGTGCTGGTTCGAGACCCAGCTGCTCCACTGCCAATCCAGCTCCCTGCTAAGGCACCTGGAAAAGCAGTGGAGTATGACCCAAGTGCTTGAGTCCCTATACCCAAGTGGAAGACCGGGATGAAGCTCTTGACTCCTCGATTTGGCCCTTGAGGCCATTTGGGGAGTGAACCAGAGGATTGGAGATCTCTTGCTCTCTTTCTCTTCCTCTCTCTGTGTAACTCTGACTTTCAAATAAATAAATCTTAAAAAAAAAAAAAAAGAAACAAAGAAAGCTATGTGGAAACACAAGGACAACAGAAAGCCCTCTGGATGATGGAGGCAGAGGTTGGAGTGATGCTTTTACAAATCAAAGATTGCCAGAAAGGCTACGAGAAAGGCATGGAATAGATTCTCCTTCAGAGCCTCCAGAAAGAACCAACTCTACTGATACCTTGATCTTGAACTTCTAGCCTCCAGAACTTTGAGAAGAATACATTGTCACTGTTTTAAGTCACCAAGTCTGCATTTTTTTGTTGTTGTTGTTATGGCAGCCCTAGGAAACTAATACACGTCCTTCACTATGGAAAACTGATGTGATGTGATGATCCCTTGAGGTGTTCAGGATGACAAAATACAGACTCACTGTAATTTTTAAAACCAGCACAAAACATCATTTAAAAATTACAATCATTTACATCTGAAAAGCAGTACATGAGAACTCCCAAAACACAATCACAAAAGGCAACAGAATGGAGAACCAGCTATGAAATCCTTGATTCTGAGTATATATAGTGAATTGTGGCATCCTAAGTATACACTTGAAAGAATAAAGCCTAACTCAACAGAGAAAAAGAAATTGTCTGAAGTGAGAAAACTGTATTGAGATACTCAAGATTATCCAGATTTACTGATAACAGTTCTTTATATAACTGAATAGCAGTCCCATTCCTATTGTTTACTTTTTCCATCTGTATTCCTTGTACTTGAACTTTGCACCCTTTGTACTACAAAACTTTTTGGCTCACATGTCAACGGTCCATGTGGACCAATTTTTTCTGTCAATGATCTGCAATTTCAGCAGGAAACATTGCAGTGATGTTATGCTCACAATTGGTCCATGAATACTCTGGCAAGTAGAGAAGCTGAGTAACTGCGACAATATTTATAGTTTCTATGTCTTTAGCCAATTTATAAAATCCTGTCCCAGTTTCAGGAAACCATCATTATCCCCATAATCTTATACTCGGTTCATCATTTCGTAGATAAAAGAACCTTCCCCCACTTGTATATCCATTCTGATCAATTCCATTAGGGCCTTGTCAAAAAAAACCTTAGTTCCACAGTCTTTTTTCCCATGTGGGGGCATACATATACCAGATTTCCACCATCCTAATGATTTCTAGTGACTAGAAAAGACCTTTTATAAATATTTTAGATAACTGTTCCTGTTTCATTAGCTGAGAAAACTGAAACCAATTCTCAATTTCGTAAGTATCTGTTTCTATTTTCAAAATGTAAATACTATTCCAATTTCTTAAAGTAGTTACTTTAGAATTAAAATTTCAACATGATTTGTCTTGTTGAAGAAAACTTTTAAGACTCTGCAATAGAAAATTGGGGTTCAGACAAACATCATGGCCCTTAGGGAACAATTGGAAGCACATGATTCTTACAGAAAAGCCCTAACACATTAAGCCTGAATTTAATCAAGTCAGTAGTCAGGATGATGAATAAAAGGTAATTCATAAAAATGTTAAAGACTGCAATTTATTGACATTGCCTTTTTTCCACACTTAATTAGAATACAAAATTGATCAAAGCTAATCAGGTTGAGTACAAATTGAGTGAAGCCCCAATTACATATTGTTTTCTTTCTATTCAATTAGCTTTTATTCATCTTGCTCTTCCCCTATCTTTCATTTCCAACAAATTAAACATCCAAGGATTAATGTGCAAAATAGTCAATCCTCGGGTTAGTATGGTATAACTAGGTATGACTTTTCCTCACCAAGTGGAAACTAACAATGACTTGAAAAAATTACAAATTAAAAACATAATTTTCAAAAATGATATTTTACATTTTGGTTAATTTTTATAACAATTACAGTTTTACTTAGGACTAGAAAAATAGAATGTTTTATAGTATTTTTTAATTTTTAAAAATTTTTTGTGAGTACATGTATTTTTCTAGTGGTAAGAATATCTTGGGATGTGTGAATCTCTTAGTTGAAAGTTTATCTACCAGGATAATGGAGAACCAGTATCAGAAGATGACACAGGAGAGATTGTGACAGTGCTGACTTTACTGATGAATTACAAGAAGACTCATCACTACTATTGTTTCTATTAAGATAGAGTAGGAGAGGAGAAAATGCCACTCATTGATAACAGAATGCAAAAGATTGCTCTGTGCACTCTGCTTTGTCTGTACATGAATGCAAACTATGTGCTGCAAACAACTGGCACTAGTCACAAGAACACTACAATAAAATCAATAGTAACACTGAATAAAAATCCATCCCTGTAGTGCTCATTTTTATTATTAAAACATCCCTTCTTGGCCGGCGCCGTGGCTCAATAGGCTAATCCTCCACCTTGCGGCGCCGGCACACCGGGTTCTAGTCCCGGTTGGGGCGCCGGATTCTGTCCCGGTTGCCCCTCTTCCAGGCCAGCTCTCTGCTATGGCCAGGGAGTGCAGTGGAGGATGGCCCAGGTGCTTGGGCCCTGCACCCCATGGGAGACCAGGAAAAGCACCTGGCTCCTGGCTCCTGCCAGGATCAGCGCGGTGCGCCGGCTGCAGCAGCGGCCATTGGAGGGTGAACCAACTGCAAAGGAAGACCTTTCTCTCTCTGTCTCTCTCTCTCACTGTCCACTCTGCCTGTCAAAAAAAAAAAAAAAAAAAAAAAAAACATCCCTTCTTGAGCATATTTTTTCAATAATATTCTCAATCCAAGAAGGCAGACAAAAATCAAAGAAAAAAAAGATGGGGCAGGAGATGACTTTCCAAGCATGCATTTTATATACACCTTTAACACCTCTTAATCTACTACCAAAACTTCACCTCTAAAAGTGTGTCCACCAAATATTAAAATCATATACGTTATTAAAAAAAGACCTAAATTTGATAGTATCCTTTTGGAAGATTAGTTTTATAACTAATACAAATATTTAGTACTGTGCCATACTTCTCAGTGTACACCACAGTCAAAGCAAACTTAAAAACCAAGTGAAAATGGCCAGTGTTTAAAACCTCATGTTATTACTCACCACAGATCCTCTTCGGACAGCTGGGAAATATCAGAAGGTATGTTGCTAGTAACTATGAAAATTTTCTTTGGTGGCTCTTCAAGTGTCAGTTCACCTGGTACAAAATAGTAGATCAAGATAGATAGGTTTTATTTAATATGATTGCTATGCTTTTAATTGCAAAAGTAATACTTATTCATTGCAGTTTATAAAATGCAGAAAAACACAAAGAACAAATTTTAAGTTACCATTATCCAGAGATAATCACTCTTGAGTGTATACACACAATTGGCTTTTAAGCAACATCATATTTGTACCATGTATAATAATATTTAATCTGCTTTTTGTTGTTATAATTATTGTTTTGTGATATCAACTAAATTGTACAACATGATTTTGTATAGCTAGGTAGTAAAGTTATTTAATGAGTTTAATCTCATTCCTCATTCTAAACTTTTAGGTTGTTGCTATATTTATTTTTCTAAACAGACACAATGAACTCTATAGATAAATTCTTTTATAGTACACATAGAACAAAATAAATCTATTTTTAAAGATAAAGTAGAAACATCTAATCTCAAAAAAACTGAACTGTTAAAATCTTTGCCTTGAAGTAAACGCTAAAATCTGCACAACGCTTCACATTCATCTGATAACTATGTCTGGGCCTAAGAAAAATGACACTCAGGCCCATAACTTCTAGGGTGGAGTATATCTGAATGATAAAACACTAAGGTCATCATTCAAAATTATCCCCAGAGATAGAGATTCCACAGACTTTCCTTAGCAGTATAATCATGGCTCATAAAGCTCCAGAGAAGTCTGGTATGCTGTCCCTTGCCAGACTGCATTTACAGCAGTATGGAAAAACCACTCATCTATCCTCTTCAGTTTAAATTAAAAACATGACAAAGCAAAGCGAATTCCTAGCAAAAGAAGATTCCATTTTTCTTTGCTAAAACCAACATTACTGTAAAAACAATATTTATAGCTGCCCAATTCCTACAGCTCTCTTAGAATTCCTGGTTGAAAAAAAAAAAGAATTCCCACTTGAAAACTTACTTGCTCTTGCTTATTCCTAATGGAAGTAATTGCCACTTAAAACTGTAAAATATGCCTCCATATGTCTATTGGAAGGCCCTAATCTTTTTCTCATACTCTACTCCATTTTCAAGGGTCCTCATTCTTTTTAGCTTCCCTTCCCCCACAGGATCTCTTTTTTATTTTTATACCATGTTTCCTCACATATCATTTGTATTCATGGGCTCCAAATAAGACATGGTCTGTCATTCCCCAAATGAAAATTTATATTCCAAAATATTTAAATAAAATCAGATTTCTGTTGATCTCTTACTGCATCAGGCCAAAAATGGTCAGATTAATTTTTACCAAGTTTGTGTTAGGGTATGCTTGGGAAAATTTGACTTAAATATAGACTATATGAGAACACTGGGCCTGAACCCCCAGGCCTGATGGAACTAGGAGCAGGCAGATAATGTAGAGCCCAGTGGAATGTTTATTGCTACAGAAAGCCCTGCACCTGAGCACATACAATGCACTATAAAAGTTTTTCTGCATGCCCCCCACCCACCTTATCAGGGTCCAGATGGTGCTCTGCACCTCTCCTAACAAGCAGCTTAAGAAGGGACTCTGCCTGCTGCTCAAATGGAATGAAGTCTGGTTTCAAACACCCTGTCCTCTGTCCTGGTAGGCTCAACCCCCACTCTCCACGACACCCCCCCCCCACTCCGCTGCCCCACTCTGTCCTCCTAGAATAAAGTCTTCTCTACTTTAACTAGCTGTCTCCTCTCCTTCTTTGAACCTTAAAATCCTAAAAGCTAACAATGGTGCTGAAACCTGGGATGAAGGCAGACTCAGGTGACCAGTCCACTGCTGACTTCCCTCCTTACTGTCATTTCTAAGTACGTCTCCCCTCCAGTACCCTCCTTAAAGTGACTCAAGGGGCCTGGAAGTATGACACCTCTCCAGAACTCCCCAGATAAGGTAAGAACTGCCTTCACCTCTTACCCTCTCACTCCCTGCTTACGCTTGCTATCTTCTGTTGGATCTCTCCTCTACATCCAACACTGGACCTGATTTTCAGCCCGTTGGACTGGTAAAAGTTGGCCCCTGTTGGCCAGCGCTGCGGCTCAATAGGCTAATCCTCTGCCTTGCGGCACCGGCACACTGGGTTCTAGTCCCGGTCAGGGCACCGCATTCTGTCCTGGTTGCCCCTCTTCCAGGCCAGCTCTCTGCTGGTGGCCCAGGAGTGCAGTGGAGGATGGCCCAAGTGCTTGGGCCCTGCACCCCATGGGAGACCAGGAGAAACACCTGGCTCCTGGCTTCGGATCAGTGCGGTGCGCCAGCCGCTGGCCATGGCGGCCATTGGAGGGTGAGCCAACAGCAAAGGAAGACCTTTCTCTCTGTCTCTCTCTCTCACTGTCCACTCTGCCTGTCAAAAAAAAAAAAAAAAAGTTGGCCCCTGTCTCCCCAAAGCACAGTGGGGCAGACTGGCCATTGTCACCTGCCTCTGGGACTTTGGCCCCATTCCCCCTTCCCTTTTAAAAGTTCCAGGAACAAGAGGAGACCTCTTGGAGGTCTAACGTGGGAGGGACTTGTCCCACTTTTGGGCGGGGACACCTGTCTGGAAAAGTCTGGACCACTCTTACTCTTCTCCAGGAGAAGAGCTTGGTTATGTGGGGCTCCTTAAGAGGATGCTGTGAGTGAGCGACCCTCCAACTTTCCGGCCTCATTCAACCAGATCCAGGGGCTCTGAAATTCCTCACATTCCGTCTGACTCCTCTCTGGCCTATTACGAAACCTGTGCACCACGGGCCTAAGAAGGGAGATAAGGCCAAAATAACGAATTTTCCGCTCTACTAAAGCGTGGCCTAAGTAAGAATTGGACAGTTGTTCTAAATGGCTAAAACAAATGGCTAAAATTCGGCACTTTTGACCTCCATATTCTCCATGATCTTGATAACTTTACACAGAGAAATGACAATTGGCCTGAGGTTCCCTATGTCCAGGCATATCTCTTTCTCCATTACCGTCCTTCATTCTGTCACCTATCAGCTTCTTCTCCTTAGGAATCTCTCTCTTTCTCTTTCTACATCCAGAGGGGGTGCCCATCGGCTCTGATGGATGCCCTCCCCCATTAAACCCTGTCATTTCACACTGCTATTCTATCTCACATCTAAATCCTCAATTGCACAAAGACAAAACCTCTGTTCCAGCCATCTCCAGTAATATATTTGGCAGAGCTAGTCAAGAAAAAACTCAAGAACAGTGGTAAGTTCTGAGCAACTTCCCTCCGAAGAATGCTTTATGCCTAGCTGCCTTCTACCACTTCCCCTACCTTGTCTAGTGGCAGCCAAAATCTCATTGCCGATATTTCATGGAGACAGAGGCTTGCCCACTCTCAGCCTAGCCACCTTGGCATCTCCCTGCCTTGCTCTCTCTTTCCACCAAAGTCTCTTTGCTCCACTCATGCAAGAGGAATATCTTACAGGAGACCTAGGTCAACTTACTCTCTCAAACTCTCTAACTAGGCCCTCTTGACCTTGGCTTGTCTGATCTGCCCAAATCTGTTCATTACCCCATTGCCTTCATCTCAAATGTAAAATGATTAACTTAGGCTGTGCTTATATAAAATTCTGATGCTTTATGTGTTGGGGTTAATCACTGTTGATGGAGCATGGTTTCAGAGCAGACTCATCTCCCATGGCTTTATATAGACAAAGCTTTTCCTGCATGTTGCATGATAGTAAAGGGTAATGGGGGGGGGGGTTAGGCGGTGGCACTGTGGTGCAGCGGGTTAATGCCCTGGCTTGAACTGCTGCCATCCCATATGGGTGCTGGTTCTAGTCCCAGCTGCTCCTCTTATGATCTAGCTCTCTGCTGTGGCCTGGGATAGCAGTAGAAGATGGCCCAATTCCTTGGGCCCCTGCACCTGCATGGGGGACCCAGAAGAAGCTTCTGGCTCCTGGCTTCGGATCAGATCAGCTCCAGCCATTGCGGCCATCTGGGAAGTCAAGACCTCTACCTCTCTCTGTAACTCTGTATTTCAAATAAATAAAATAATCTTTAAAAAAAAAGGTAATGGGGTCACTCTCTCCCACATTCCCAGCTTCTGACTGTAGGACAGGGAGCTGGCTAAGCCTACCCAACAACCATTTCCATCCTTGTTCGCAATCCTGTCCTATCCTCTCTTTGGACAGCCAATGCCAGTTTTGTTTTTTTGTTTTTTGACAGGCAGAGTGGACAGTGAGAGAGAGAGAGAGAGAGAGAGAAAGGTCTTCTTTTGCCATTGGTTCACCCTCCAATGGCCGCCGCAGCCGGCGCGCTGCGGCCGGCGCACCACGCTGATCCGATGGCAGGAGCCAGGTGCTTCTCCTGGTCTCCCATGGGGTGCAGGGCCCAAGGACTTGGGCCATCCTCCACTGCACTCCCGGGCCACAGCAGAGGGCTGGCCTGGAAGAGGGGCAACCGGGACAGAATACGGCGCCCCGACCGGGAGTAGAACCTGGGGTGCCGGCGCCGCAAGGCGGAGGATTAGCCTAGTGAGCCGTGGTGCCGGCCTCATCCAATGCCAGTTTTTAAAAAAGGGTTACAGATACTTTTAGTCCTGCCTAAAACTGCCAGCCACTTTTCCAGCTTAGAAAATCAACCCTCAGCCCCAAACACAAAAACCATTACCCTAATAAATGGTTCAAAGTGACTGACATGTTTGAGCCTATCTGGAAGGACTAACAGCTATTTTTATGTGGTGATCTGCCATCAAGGAGACCCAGCTAGGCCACTCCACCCCCAAAATAGCCCCTGTTTTTGATACAAAAAGCCAGGGCATCAAATAAACAGCTGCTATGACAGAGGCTGGCTTCCAAGGAAGCCTCCATCCACTGTCAAAATACCTGGTCACTGGAAGTGAGACTGCCCCAAGGGTCCAAGGACCCCCAGGATCAGAATCACAAAGCCTGCTGGCCCCTATTCAGCCTTGCATCGCTGTTGAGGGGATGGCCCAGGGTCCTTATTGGCATTACAGGCAGGACCATACATTTCTTTCTTTTTTTAAATCACATTTATTTATTTATTTTTGACAGGCAGAGTGGACAG